TACATGCATACATACATACATACATACATACATACATACATACATACATACATGCATACATACATACATACATACATACATACATACATACATACATACATACATACATACATACATACATACATACATACATACATACATACATACATACATACATACATACATACATACATACATACATACATACATACATACATACATACATACATACATACATACATACATACATACATACATACATACATACATACATACATACATACATACATACATACAATCCCCTAAAATCCACACTGACCCTGGTCTAGGCTCTAAGTTTTAGATAGGCACTAGTGCGTCCACGTCGTGGGGGATGGGCAACAGCACTGTGGTGGATGGAGACAAAGGGTATGCCGGCGGCCAAAGAAAAAGCTGAGGCTGTGTTTAATCACAAGTCCAGATTACAATTAATCTGGTAGCGCTACGCATGCCGGGCACGCGGAGACTCCATCTTCACCTTTGCTGGCTAAAGTTAGAGTGGTCAGAGGAAAGCCTCTGTAGATAAGTCAGGATGCCCCAACAGAGGACAGAAATGGTGAACCAAACATCCCAAGTCAAGGGGTTTGATACCGTACCGAGGACTAAATGGCGCCGGGGAGATATGGCGTCGCGAATGGTTCAGGCCCAACCCCAGCCTTGCTTCAGTATCCAGGGCTCTGCTAAAGTTGACCTTGTATTTTCCCGTGGTTCTCGTGAGACCAACATGATTAATAACTTAAACAAAAAAAGCGAAGATAGTGAAAAGGATGATAACAACCGAAAAGCATCATTGAACGTTAGCACTGACCTGATGAGGATCAATGCCTGGGAACAGCTTGGGCAACTCATTGATGGTCTGTTGGAGTCCGTGAAACCAAAATCGAACGTCCACAAGAGATAAAAACAAAGATGTAAAAATCGCCAATGCTTTTTATAAAATTAAAGCATTGAAAACAGGTAAAAAGTTGAAGCAGCCTCCAAGTCAGCTGCCAAAAAGACAATTTCTGCCATCAAGGGCACGGAACATAGTAGAAAAATTATCGGCTGTAGATACCGGAGCCGACGCAGATAGCGAGTCTGCTGTAGACATTCAGCCTCGGTCTGTCAAACGAAAAGACCGAACGCCGCCGGAAACCGGGACTAAAAAGAGGAGAGAGGAGACACAGACAATTTTCCCTTTTCTAACAAAGAGCAAAGGTAAGGAACACACAGACACAAAGACGGAAATGGGATGGCAACAGGTGAAGGCAAAGAAAAGTGGAGAGAGTCGAAGCATGGAACAGAAGAGGAACCGTGCGCTGCAGAAAGTGAATGTGGGAAGACTAAGAACAAATGTTCTGATTGTACGCCCTAAAGACAAGGAGAAATACTTAGACATTCTCTGCAGAGTGAAAAAAGAGGTTCCAAATGAGCAAGTGTGCTCCACAGTAAACAAGATCCGCAGGACTGCCACCGGCGATCTGTTGATAGTAATTAACAAAAATGATGCGGAGGAAGGAAAAGGGTTGCAAAAAACCATTTCTGAGATACTAAAAGATGAGGCAACGGTCGTGTGTAAAGGACCGCAGGAGGATCTCAAAATAAGAAATCTAGATGATGTTACAACAAAAGAGGACATCCTAACAGCTTTGCAAAAAGTGGCCGGCAACAACTCCAAAATTGCAATAGACGATATAAAATCGCTTCGTAAAGCGTATCGAGGCACACAGGTTGCTTCTATAACCCTGGCAGCCCATACTGCAAAAAAGATTATGGGCGAACATAACAAAATCAAAATTAGATGGGTAAACTGCAGAATCGTGCCAGTAAAGAAGCCAAACAAATGTTTTAAATGCTGGCATTACGGTCATCTTGCAATACAATGCAAGAGTACAATAGACAGATCGAAACTTTGCATTAGATGCGGAAAAGATAGTCATAAAATTGCAGAGTGCAAGAACGAGGCCCAATGTGTTTTATGCGCAGAAATAAACTACGCATATAATTGTGCTCATGCAGCTGGTACCGCAAGATGTCAAGTTTACAAAAACGTGGTGCTGGGTGTTAAAGGAAAAAAACCTAAAAATGAAGATTTTGCAACTAAACATAAATCACTGCAAGGTGGCACATGATCTGCTTATGCAGACTGTGCGAGAGCTGAAAGTAGATCTGGCAATAATATCGGAACCCTATAAACATTTGAATACACAGCCGTGGGAAATGGATAGCACTGCAGGAGCAGTCATCTGGTCCTGAGCCAAGCTTCTTTTTCAAAATGTTATAAATTCAGAGGCAGATTTTGTAGCAACAAAAGTAGAGGATATATATTTTTATAGCTGTTATGCTCCGCCCAGCCTTCCGTTTGATAAATTTGTAAACTTCTTTGAAAGACTGACCCAAAGTGCAAAGCAGTACTCCCTTGTGGTCATAGCTGGAGATTTTAATGCCTGGGCTGTAGACTGGGACAGTAAAGAAACCAATGCAAGAGAGAATGCGCTCCTAGAAGCCATGGCAATATTAGATGTTGTCTTATTGAATAACGGAGATAAACCCACATTTGTTAGAAAAAAAGTGAACTCAATAGTGGACTTCACATTTGTAAGCTGCTGCCTGGTAAAAGGAAACCTTTCATGGAAAGTTATGGACATCTACACGGCAAGCGATCATAGTGCACTACTCTGGGAGGTGACCACTAGCTTCAGCTCTAGATGTATACTGGCACGAACAAATGACTTTGACTTAAATGCTTTTATGGTGGCCTTAAACCGTGAACCGTTGGCCGCTCAAAGCGCTGAAAAGAATGCAGAGGAATTGACAAAAAGATTAGTAAAAGCTTGTGATGCAAGTATGCCCCGTAAAGTAAACATTATGTGGACAAGAGATAATCAGTTCACTGGTAGAATGCAAACATAGATGCTCTTTGGAAAGAGTGTCTCAAAACGAGAAGAGCATCACAACATGCATGGAAAAAAGAAAATTTTTAGAATTGAAAGGAGTGTACAAGAAAACTCGCCTAGGACTCAACAAGGCCATTAAAGCTAGTAAAAGAAAATACTGGTTGGAGCTCATCAACGAAGTAGAAAAGGATCTATGGGCCGGCCATACAAATCGGTTTTGCTACATTTAAAAGGACAACCAATGCCTTTGCCCACATGCCCACAACTAATAAAAAAGCCTGTTCATAGCCTGTTTCCTAAACAAAATAGGAACTATGACTGCATAAAACAATACAAGGCTATTGATGTTCAATTCACGAAAATTCAATTGAGGGAAGCCTGTAACAGAATTAAAAATAATAAAGCCTCGGGCTTAGATGGAATTCCTAACAATACTTTGAAAACAGCTATAAAAGAGGCACCGGAATTATGCTTGGATGTCTATAATGCATGTATTAGAAAGGAAGTATTTCCAGGTAGACGGAAACTGCAAAGGTTGGTTTTCATCCCGAAAGGAAAAAAGCCACCGGAAGACCCATCATCTTATCGCCCATTATATATGCTGGACACAGCCCGGAAAATACTGGAAAGAATTATCCACCAAATGATTGAACAAAAAGTGGATCCTCAATTGACTAACAGCAGGAGGGTGTTACTGTCTTCTTTTGTCACGTCGATACTAACATATGGGATTCCAGTCTGGGCCGATGCACTCAAAACCCTTGACATGCTAAGAAAACTCTCGTCAGTTTATCGAGAAAGTGCTTTGAAAATTGCCTGCGCTTTTCGCACGGTTTTTGGAGAAGCAATTTGTGTTATTGCTAGTGTGTTACCCTTCTTGGAACTGACCAGAGAAAAAAAGTCTTTATATCAACGGGGTAAAACAACTACTCTGAACAAAGATGAAATCAGAAAAGAGGAGCGACAATATAGCATACATCAGTGGCAAATGCAATGGGACTCGGCAACAACTGGCAGGTGTACATACCATCTTATACCTCAAATAGATGTCTGGCTGAACCGAAGCCATAGTGAAGTTAACTACTACTTGACGCAGCTGCTTTTGGGGCATGGTTGCTTCCGAGCATACCTTTATCGTTTTGGGCATGATGTTTCTCCAGAATGCCCATCCTGTCCAGAAAAAAATGAAGATGCGGAACACGTATTCTTCAAGTGCCCTAGCTTCCACAGGCCTAGAGAAACTATGGAAACTGTTCTCCAACAGAGAATCTAGCCAGAAAATATTACTAAAGCTATGCTGTCATCAAAAACTGCATGGGATGCAACTGATGCGTTTGCATCCGATGTCCTCTACAAGTTGGGCACAGAAAGGCAGAAGATAGAAAGTTGATGGTAGTTATTCAAATGTTGCAGCTTTCTCTAACACAGATGAACTAGCGAACTGCTATGATCCTCCCCTCGCGTAGTAATGCCTAACGGCGGGCCAGCGAGGGAAACTGGGGCCAGATGATGAGGAGGTTTGTTAGTTGGTATGGGTTTACTCGAGTCCGACATATCCAAGGAATTACATCCTGGAATACATAAAGTATTTTCCTCCTCCAAAAAAACAAAAAAAAACATACATACATACATACATACATACATACATACATACATACATACATACATGCATGCATGCATACATACATACATACATACATACATACATACATACATACATACATAAATACATACAAATGGCCTTGACACATCCATGCAGTTTGGTCACCTCAACGAAACAAACAACAACCACAAAAATATAAAAAAACAACAGTATTTCAAACTACCCAGAGTATTCAAACAAATAAATTCAGAATTAGAATAGGTATTTATATGCCAACCAATGCACGAATGAACGAATGAACCAACGAATGAATGAATAAATGAATGAATAAATGAACGAACGAACGAACGAATGAAAGAACGAAGGAAGGAAGGAAGAAAGGAACGAAGGAAGAAAAGAACGAACGAACGAACGAACAATCGATCGAACGAACAAATGAATGAATGAATGAATGAATGAAATTACAAAAGCATGAATCAAAGTAAAATTACCAGTCAAACAGAAACAACATGATGGATATAAATTTAAATTAATGGAGGTAAACTAACGATAAATAATAAGAACAACAACAACAACAACAACAACTTAAATAATAATAATAATGGCAACAACTTTATGACATCCTCATCATCATCAACATATCATCATCATCATCATCAACAACAACAACAATTTTTTATAAAAGCGAAACAATCAACAATAAATACACAAACTCAAAAACACAAATTAAAATAAATATTTATGTATATTTTTGCAAAGAAAACTATACACTGCGCATCATCAAAATATACAAATCATACAAAACAAAAAAAATCAATAACGTATAAAAAAATAAAAAAATATACAAAAGCACGAAACATGCAACACCACTAAACAAACAAAAACATACAAAAATAGTAGAAATACAAATGCAGCAAAACGAACGCACTTTGAAAACTTACACGCATACGCTTAACCAGAAAATTAACGCACTTGAAAATTATTAACAAATATGAACAATAATAATATTTTATTATTATTATTGTTATTATTATTAATTGTTCAATATAATAATATAATAAACCTTATTATTTTTTTAAATTTTATTAACACAAATAATAATAATAAATTTAGAAAAAATACATAGTCAACAAAATAATTACAAAGATACCAATAAAAGATTCGTATTTGTATGGGCTTATAATTCAGATTATTGCTTCCAAGAAAACAAGCAAATCAAACAAAGCAAACGAACAAACAAAACAAACAAACGAACAAACAAACAAACAAACGAACAAAACAAACAAAACAAACAAAGCAAACGAACGAACAAACAAACGAACAAAGCAAACAAATCAAACAAAACAAACAAACAAACAAAACAAACGAACAAACAAAACAAACGAACAAACAAAACGAACAAACAAACAAACGAACAAAGCAAACAAAACAAACAAAGCAAACGAACGAACAAACAAATAAACGAACAAAGCAAACAAATCAAGCAAAACAAACAAACAAACAAAACAAACGAACAAACAAAACAAACGAACAAACAAAACAAACAATGCAAACAAAACCAACGAACAAACAAAGTAAACAAACAAATAAATTAATAAATAACTAAAATAACTAAAAACAATGAAACAGGATAAAGAACGACCAATGAAAAATGTTTTCAGCTACGACGCATAAAAAACAAAACGTTTGCATACAAAATACAAAAATATAAAACAAATTAAATCAATACTTTTACATTTTGGTAATAAATAATAAATAAATTTTGTTTTCATTTCACAAACATAAATGCAAACATTCGAACATTTCATAAAAACACACAATTTGATACAAACATACAATATAAATATACATACATAATATACAAATTTGCAAACATACATATACAATCATTAATACATATAAAGCATAGAATCGTATACAAACATATTGATCTGCACAAAAAAAAACACAAATAAAACACGTTTAAACGCATGTACTAGCAAACTTTCAGAAACAAACAAAAACACATACAAGTCAACATACAAACGAAACCTCATAAAAACCCGACACAGAACCATACAAACATTAGGAAAATGAAACATGTGGAATGACACACAACACAACAAACACGTAGATGCCGAATACTTTCTATTGAATCAATACATGTGTTCTCTTGTGTTCTATGGTGTTTATGTTTGGCATTTTTTTCTACAATTCGGTTGTAAAAATATTGAATAATTTTACAGTTTTTTTTAATGGCTTAAAAAAAATAAATGTAATTTCTGGAGCGGAAATTTATTTTTGAATGAAAAATAAATAAATAACAAATAAAAAAAACAAAAAATTGATTTTAATTTAACATTTTTGTTGAAATCAATATGCGCTGTGTGTTTGTCGTAGATACCTCTGAGATACCTTTGATACCTCTGAAATACCTTTAATACCCTTGATATCTACCGCAGGATGGAGAAAGATTTTTACCTTTATAACCTTTAATGATATAAAAATTTGACATGAAAAAAGTGTGTGTGCGTGCGTGCGTGCGTGTGTGTGTGTGTGTGTGTGTGGTTTGAGTGTAAGTGAGAGAGAAAGAAAGAGAAAGAGAGAGGAAGTGAGAGTAAGTATGAAGTGAAAATTGTGAGATAATCATAAATGGTTGCCAATTTTTTAACTAAGTTAAGTCCTCCAAAACTACAATATAATTATAATAATAATTATCATTATTTTTAATAATAATAATTATTATTATTAGTAGTAGTAGTAGAGTAATAATAATGATTATTATCAGTAGTAGTAGTAGAGTAGTAATAATTATTATTATTAGTAGTAGTAGTAGTAGAAAGTAGTAGTAGTAGTAGTAGTAGTAGTAGTAGTAGTAGTAGTAGTAGTAGTAGTAGTAGTAGTAGTAGAAGTAGCAGGGTCGTCAATCTTCCTTGTTGGAGACAAAAGTCTCACTATGGATCAATTTTTTAGTTGATTTAGAGTTTTTTTTACATGATAGAAAATGGTCTACCCGTTAATCGTTCTTCCTAACAATTGGTCTTTATCTTATTGATGACCAAAAAAATTCTCATTATCAATTTCAAATGGTTTTTTGTAGAAGCGGCAGTAGTAGTGGTAATGGTGGTAGAAGTAGTAGTTGTTGTAGTAAAAGTAGTAGTGGTAGTAGTAGTATTAGTAATAGTAGTAGTAGTAGTAGTAGTAGTAGTAGTAGTAGTAGTAGTAGTAGTAGTAGTAGTAGTAGTAGTAGTAGCAGTAACAGCAATACCAGTAGTAATGATAGCTTGCATTATGACTTCTAATACATCAGTTTTGGACTGATTTGTCTTTTTACACACAAATTTTTGTTTATCGTCTGAATTTTAAAATAGCGAAAATAAAAGATGGAAATATTTTTAAAACTAATATTTGTAGTTTTTTTTATTTAATTTTTAAATAATTTAAATAAATTGTGTAAATTCTAGGAAGAAAATGTTCACACGGCGATAAATCATTTAATGACGGTGACCGGCACTCCTACCTCCCACAAAACAATCACCGCCAACTCAATTGTTAGCGTTGCGCCTCCTTCATCTGAAAATTTCCACGTTGAAACTCACAAACACAATTTTAATTCTCCTTGTAAATTTTTAATAATTAAGGAGGCTGGTGGGATATTGTAATGGTTAAAGCGCCTGGTCTTGATATTGAAGTGACTGGCTTCAAGCACAAAGAGATTGCGGATTATCTAGTAAGTTGTGTGTCTTTCGTCCAAACAAAAAAATATCAAAAATAGTAACAACAACAACAATAATAATAATCATGTTGTTGCAGAAAGAGATGTAGAGGTAGAAAAGGGCGATGCACATAATTGGCAACACCCCATCAACACCAGACCCACACACTTTGGTCAAACTACCTACCAAGCAATGCCATGACCATCAAAAACTGAGGGGACCGGAGAATCAGACCTCCTGTCCAGGACTTTGACTCAACCCAGCTACAACATAAATTAATACTAGAAGCCATTTTGAATTTTTCATCAAAGTGAACAATTTGAAAAAAGTGCAAAGACCAAAAATCAACAGTCCGATAAATTGAAAAACATTCCTTCAGTCATCAATAAACTAAACACAACAATTCAATACTACCTACAAACATCATGTCGATCAAAAATTATACAAAATCTCTGTGGGTAGAATTTGGAAGGTACACGAAATCAAACTGCAACAACAAGCCTCTCTATTTGCGTGGTCCAAATCGGGTATTAAAGCAACGAAAAACATTTTAGAAATTTTTTTGTTAAGTTTTTTTTACATTTTGTTGTCGTTCATCGACCTGACTTGGTCCAATCAACTTAAGTACAACTTAAGGACATAATGAATGAGACCATTGAAAATACTCTTTAAACCTGTCATATAAATAATTATTATCTCAAAAAATGTATACACCACCATAACGCGTTTACATGATTCAACTCATTGAAGCCAATTTTATTTCAAATAGGACTATAAGAATTTGACAAAGTAGACAATGAACGACAAGGACGAAGGCTGCCAAATAGTGGGTTACATCAAGCATTTAAAAACTTCAGTGTTTGACAAGTTTAGCAGCAGATCCTACCAGTTTTATATAGCATTAAACAAAAACGAAAAGCATTTCCGAAATTGTCCACCTTAACCTTAACAAAACCCCAATCTCTGGTGGTCACCTTAACAAAACCCCAATCTCTGGTGGTCATTGAAGTGTACACCAAGAAACCACAACAAACAGCAATCGACTGTTGGTCAGTTTCATAGTCTCGGGATCGATACCAATGGATGTGATTCTGCAGTATCCAAGCGGAGAAATCAGAGTTGACCCGCAAACTTTCATCCAGAACGGACCATATATAGTAACGGATACGGTGGGTAATGAATACAACCTCTCATCTGAATCAACTTTTTACTGTTTTGACAAAAACGAATTCGGATATTAAGGCGTCCAAAGTTTTAGGTAGGGCAGTATGGAGTTTGAAATAAACAGAGGGAGAATTTGTTTTATTGGGTGGCATTATAAGAGTTTACTTCCTATTATAATTTGTATTTTCAAGTAAATTAATTTAATGTTCAAATTTGTTAAAAATATTATTTTTTAATAATATTTATTTATGTGTAAATGTCACACAGTTTTAATGACTTCAAATTGATTTTTTGACAGAAATATTGATTTTAATGCTCTTGTGTTTTGAACATTTAAAAAAACTATTCTACCTTAATTATTTTGAAGCAACTATTTTCTTTCATGTTCAATCAATCAATCAATCAATTAGCTTATAAAGCGCTATTTCCGCGATGTTCAACAGCGCTCCTCAATGAATTTTGAAAACAGATAGGTCTTGAGATCCGCTCTGAACTTCGCAAGTGATGGAGAAATAGTTAGAGAAGTAGGTAGAGAGTTCCAGAGAAAAGGACCAGAAAAAGCAAAAGCAGATTTGGCAAAAGAGTGTTTAACACGAGTTAAGAAAAAGCGAGAAGAAGAAGACGATCGTAAACCGGGGCGTTTAGGTTCAATTAATATATCTGATAAGTACTTAGGAAATAATTTAGATTGAGACTTATACATGAACGTGCAAATTTTAAAAATTATTCTATATTTTATAGGTAGCCAGTGCAACGTATGCTTACATTTTTTAACATCACCTTCAAGCATTAGACATGAATCGTTAAAAGTTTTATCAAACGATTTATTTATATTCGCTCTTCTGTTTGATGCCTCACAAAAAAAAATTTCTACACGCACTTTTAATTCTAAGTGGATGAGCCTAATTTTTTAAAGAAATTATCAGATTATATTCATTTCTTCTTCTCCGTACTCAAAAAAAATTTAAAATGCAATTGTCTAATCGTATTTTTTACAGTGCTTACTTCATTTGGAAGCAAGGGGGAGATTGATCTCAAGTTTATTTTATTTAACATGGTTTTATTTTCTGTTATTTATATTTGGTTTTATATTAATTTCGAAAAACATATCATAGTTGTTATTATTGTTATATATTAGTTATATTATTACTATTATCACTATTATTATAACTATTAAGAAAAATATAAAAAAGTTAAATATCACAAGATAATTAACAAATTTCAGTATTAAGAAATTCATTAATATTCATTTAAAAATGTGATGTTGTGCTAACACGTGACGTCATAAAAGAATTAATAATAATAAAAACAATACCAATTTCAGTGGTAACATTAATATTATTAACTACAACAACGTGATTAGTAATTTTTCATTACAAAAATATTCATTTACGTATTTGTCGTAAGCCAGCTAACTAACCAGCCAACCATCCACCCATCGTCATTACTTGACAACATATAAACAGCATTATAAACTATCGCACACTAAACTAACAACAAAGACTATGCCACTATTTACTATGCCTGCCGTTCAATTTCAACTGCCAAACAAAAACTATTCGCTGTTACACGCTAATCCTGGCTAATTTTTTTGCTAAGAAACCTCCCAATGATGAAGAACGATGAAATCTTGCAGATTGTTAAAAACACTTATCTGGTTCGCAGTCATCTTCATCGCCATTTTTCAAAAATAACAATCGAAACCTAGGCTAACTTCATTAAATCCGCCAAAAATTATGGACGCTTACGTCAAACACTTCCCACAAAACAATCGTTTCTTAGTTAGCCGCGTAGTTTCCGGATCGATCCCGATGGAGGTGTTGTTGAAGTATCCGCGACGGGACGCAAGGGTGCTCCCTCAACAACACATCCAGAATGGTCCCTACACGGTCACCAATGCATTCGAAAATGCCTCCATCACAACTTTTACTGGAACTTACTCGCCAGGAATGAAATTGGAAATTCAAATGTGCACAACTTTTCCCGGGAGTCAATGGTTTTCCAAATTGCCGGCAAAGGAGAGAGCAAGAAAAAATTTTTTGAAACAATTTTGTGGGATTTTCGGCTTTACATTATATTTTTGTATTTCTCGTTTCAGTCGAATGGTTCGTAATTTGTCGTAATTTGTTGCGACAGAAGGACACAGCTCTGTACGTTGTCGGGAGATTTACTTTTTGAGTTGAATTACATTCCGAAATTTCTGTATACGTTTGAAAAGCGTATGAACGAGTCAACTGAAATCATCAATTTTAGGAACTAATGACAGGAAAAAACAGACTAAAATATTTTGTTCTTAGTTTTTTGGCAAAACATCTGAAATATTTTAATTGATGAAATTATGAAAACTTTCGATGGGCTTATCGGGAAAATTTTTTGAAGGTCTTAAAAATATGCGAATAAGTGAATTAACAGCAATACCATTACCAACAAAAACATAAACAGCATAATAATAATGGAAACTCTTTTATTTCAATCAAAGTCAATCTAATGAATGGAAGAAAATAGAATAATTAAAATATATACTAATGTAATAATATTCAATAAAACCACAATGCTCATTATCTATGACAAGTGCAAAACGGTAAAATATTCAAATTGGTTACGGATTGTTTCTATCGCAATAAATGGCATACGTCGATTTAATAACTGTATAAGTTAATTTGTTAATAAATGTAATCGGCCATGAATTTTTAATTAGAGACAAGTTTAAAACATTAAAAAAGCCAATCGGGGTGATTTCAAATGTTTTCAAAACAATTAAACTGTTTTTAAAGTCAGCCTTTAAACACAATTTCAAGTTATTTTCGTATTTCGATTGTTTGTAATTTTTTGATTTTATCAGATTTGTTTCATGGCACACCGTTTATTCGATGACTTCAATCTTGTGGTCGCGCAAAATGGCGATGTCTGGACGAAGAGTGTCGAACAGTTGCGATATTGGCAGGACTCCCTCCGAGACGATATCAGCGAATATCCGGCAGTCCGGCTGTCGACATGTCTTTAACCAACTGACGATCTCGGATAAAATTTTATTATGACGTTCAGTATATCTTGCTAACGCGACAACAGATCCACTTTCCCCATCTGAGCAGATTGGCGTTGGTCGGCAATTGCTGTATAAGATATTTCCTGGCAAATTTGTAGAGAGTTTCTGAAACCAAATCTAATTGTTTTGACCAATTTGTTATTCGCGATGGTGATATTACCTCTGTTACTGATTTAACGATGGAACCCTGGCTCTGAAGCGACACAACATGATTCCAGTTGGCCGTTATCTGATCTTCCTTTAAATGTTTTAACGAATGAGTTGTTGTGTCTGTATCTGATAATAAATTGTCCACCATTTTGTAGTCTATTGATGTTTCCCGCCAGAGACAGCGAATTTCTGAGTTTCGGTTCGTTTTGAAGTAATTGCGGAGTTTTAATCTCATTTTTAACGCAGTATCCCTGAGTGAAACAATATTATGACCTGCTGTCTTCAATGGTAGCCCTAGAACCTCTGATACACAACCGCTAATTGGCATCGTTAGCCAATCTCTAACTGCCTCTGTCACCATGTTGTCCAAGTTATTTTTTATCCACGTCAGTGAAAGATTATAGCTTCTCAATTCAAATTTTAATTGTGACGGGATAAATCTTCTTAAGACCTGGAGTTTCATTTGAGTGGAAACCTTTAGATCCGTTGTCCTCTTTAACAGTCTTGTTAATTTGGAAACCATTTCTTCTTTGGCCTTTGTGTCCTTTAGTTCCGCATCGTATATTTTACCCAGGTATTTGAATCCAGAGCCCAATTCAACGGGTGGAATGGGAATGTTGTCTATTGTCAACCTGGGCAAAAATTGGTCATATGAGCCATCTTTTTTCATCATACCGAGCACACAACATTTGTCCACTCGCATCTGCATGTCTGACCATCGGCACCAAGCTAGATTCAGATCAATTAGCTTTTGAGCACTTTCCGAATTGTGTGCTATTATCGCTGTATCATCTGCAAACTGCAGCCGTGGTCTAGCCCTCACATCTGACGTTGGTTCCCACAGGTAGCCGCATTGTTTAAATTCATCACCCTCCAAGATTTTCATCAACGGGTTAAAGCAAAGGTTAAACAACAACGGCGAACATGGATCACCCTGTAGCACTCCTTTTCTTACTGGCAACAACGGTGTGAGTTGATCATTAATTGATACTGATATTGCATAGCTCGAGTAGATTGACAAAACTAAATTTCGGAATAATTGAGGAACATGATGGTAGAGTAAAATGGAATTAATAAGCTGATGGCTTACCTCCCCAAACGCATTCCGAAGATCCAGTAGAGCAATAATTATCGAGCGTTGATATCTTTTTGCATCTTTCATTAGATGTGATAGCATCTGTGTGTGCTCTGCTAGGCCATCGAGCGTAGGGTAAAAACCTTTCTGTATATTTGTGCTGATAAAATTATTTCGTAGGAGGAAGTTGTGAAGACGATTTTTGATTAATGTTGAAAATATCTTGTATAGTACAGGCTGGAGAGTTATGGGGCGAAAGTTAGCCGGGTCATTTGCATCACCTTTTTTATGAATAAGAATCGTTAAGGCTTTTCGCCAACACAGCGGAATTTTTCCGGCATTCCAACATTTAACTATTAATTTGTGAAGGTATGTGCGGAGAATTGGACATCTTTTTAGCGCAATAACCGAAATTTGGTCCAGCGGACAAGGTATGGCTTTCGCCTTGCACCTTCGAACAATCGCCACGACTTCCTTATATGTCGGTTTAACGATGTCACCCTTAACTGACGGTTCCGGCAGGGGATGAATCCAATCTGGAATGAGGATCGAGCGTCGGCTATCAATCCATTGCGGAAAAAAGTTTCACCGTCGGCCACATTAAATTGAGGAGCTACATTTGTTGATGATGAAAACGATGATTTGCAGGCCCTCCAAAAATTGTTGTTGAACTGGTTTGTATCCATTGCGGAGCACGTTTTCTTTGAGGATTTTAATCTCAATCTCTCTCGAATTAATTTACTCAGTTTTGAGATATGGGTGTTGAAAACGTTATTGCAGTTTTGAGCTTTTAGTTGTTTTAGCTCCTTTTTTTTGTTGTTTGATTGTGCAGTCTGTTTTCAAATTATTTGTTGATTTAGTTTTTACAACGCCGTAGTTTGTTTTGAAGTAAGAGTAAATTATTTGTTGAAAATGTGTTGCAAAGTTGTCTAAATCCATGTTGTTTAGGCAATCCAACTCACTCTGAAAAGCCACGTTCGCTTCTGACCAATCCGCTGGAGATTTTGGCAGTTTAACGCCTGAGAGCGGTTGTGGGGTCTCCGTTTGTGTTGGTTTGTGTTCGAAACCAGAGCGACCTGGGTCAGAAGAAGTGGATGTTTCTCCTTCATCTACTTTGGCTTTGAGAGATTTGCACATTTTACAAGTTCTTTGGTGCATTCTTAATCCTTTTCTACCCTTACAGGGTCGGCCACAGCAACATGTCAACATATTATTTAAATTATTTGAAATATTATTGTCGTTATTTATTAAACTAGACGAAATATTAATATTTGGTGAATTGTTTTCATTTACAGTTTCTATCTTAGTAGCTTTTGTACAACGCCAGGAGTGTCTGTTCAATGATATAAACTCTTTATAACAATACGGACATTTGGTCGCGTTAATTAAAATTATTTGATTTAAAACCACAATTAAACATATTAAATTATAAAAAATATAGTTTTTATTAAAATTAAAACAACGGCCATGTTCGTTACAATTTGCGAATTTTTTTAAAACCAAATTTAAATAGTTAAACTTCGTTAAAACACTATTATTGCTAGAAAAACAGTAAACTGTGAGAATACAACTCTCTTGTTCGGTTATGTTATAACAACAATAATATAATAATAACATATATAATATTAATATTATATAATTTATATAATTATATTAATAATAATATAATATATGGGAACAATCTTTTATTCATCAATAAAATCAATAAAAATGATAATACAAATTAAGTAAAATAAAGTGAAAAGTCAATGAAATAATTAGTGTTTTATCAAATCTGCGAAGCTCATCATTCAAATCGAGTGAGTACAGCCAGAGTTAATTAGTTTCAAAATTGGTTCATTTCAAATTTCTATCACAATAGAGAGCGTACGACTATGATACAGCAGATTTAATAAGGTCGTTGCAAAAGTTATCAGACCAAACAATGTTTATATGAGATAAATTAAATTGCTTGAATAAACCCAATGTAGAAATTTCGAATGTATAATAATAACAATAATAATAATAATAATAATAATGATCATTGTTATAGTGCATTCAGTATTGCTCGTGCACTTTATATTTCTACGAAGGTTTTCCTTATTGTGGAAAAATTGAAAGAAAGCAAAAAGAGGTAGATAGTAAGAAAAAGTAGAAGAGATGAAAAAAGAGAGAAGGAGGAAAGAGAAAGAGAGAGTGGGAGAGAAAAGGAAAGTGAATTCGAAGGAAATAAACAGTTACGTAAGTTTACGAAAAGAATGATGTAAAAAAAAACACTGAACTACGAGAAAGAGAGAAAGAAGAAAGAGGTGCCAAAGAAGACAATTATAGAGAGAAAAATAAGGTATTACAATATGTTAGAGGAAGAGAGAGAGAGAGATCAAAACAAGTTAGAAAGAATGAGAGAAAGAGAGAGTAAAAAAAGAAAGTAGCAAAGAGATTAGAAAAAATACGAAAATTACGAAAGAAATGCCAAATAATAAAAAAAAGAGATAAATTAAAAATAGAAAAATTAGAGATATGGAAGAGCGGAGAGAGTGATGATAAAATTGTTAAGTCCAACTGGGACATTATGTTACGACACTGGAATTGAGATAAGGAGAGATTTGAAGAGGGAATGAATTTAAAAGTAAAAATTAAAAGAAATAAAATTTTGAAAAAATAACAAAAACATGATAATAAAAAAAATGGATTGAAAGTAAAGTGAGAAGGAGTGAGAGAGGAGGAGGAAAGAGTGAAAGACAGAGAAAAGAAAAAGAATAAAAAAAAGTAAAGAAAGTTAATGGTGAGAGACGGAAAAAGATTAAAAAACAACGAGAGAGAGAAAAAGAAAGAAAAAGAGAGAGAGAGAGAAAGAGAGAGAGAGAAAGATTTAAGATGAAACTTTTCAATAGTAGTGTTCACGTGATCATTATTATTAATGCGGAATCATTTTTACATCATTAGTCTACTGTTACTTATTATATACCATTCCGCAGTATCAAACTCGCCATCATCATCATCATTCTCATCGTCGTCGTCATCATCATCGTCGTCGTGATTATTAATATTATTAATTATTAACAGTTCGTTCATTGAATCATTCTTTGTGTGCCCGTTCGTTCATTCATTCATTCACACATTAATTCATTATCTATGTATTCATTCATTTTTTCGTTCGTTCGTTCATTCATTCATTCACACATTAATTCATTTATCTATGTATTCATTCATTTTTTCGTTCGTTCGTTCATTCATTCATTCACACATTAATTCCTTATCTATGTATTCATTCATTTTTTCGTTCGTTCGTTCATTCATTCATTCACACATTAATTCCTTATCTATGTATTCATTCATTTTTTTGTTCGTTCGTTCGTTCATTCATTCACACAGTAATCCTGAAGCAATTTATTTACATATTTCATTTTATTTATTTATTTTAGTTATTTATTATTCATTTATTTATTCGTTCATTAATTGATTAATTAATTTATTTATTTTATTCATTCATCTATCTATTCATTCATTAATTCAAAATATCATAAAATATCATTAATTCATAAATTCATTCATTCATTTATTTATTTATTCATTTGTTCGTTCGTTCGTTCGTTTGTTCATTCATTCATTCATTCGTTCGTTCGTTCGTTAGTTCGTTCACTCACTCACTCACTCACTCACTCACTCACTCACTCACTCACTCACTCACTCACTCACTCACTCACTCACTCACTCACTCACTCACTCACTCACTTTATTTATTTTCTATTGATATGCTATACACATAATAACAAAAATAATAATAACAATAATAAAATGACCATAAATAAATAAATTCTGGCGAGAAGTACATTCGAGTTGATCATATAAATTTATCGCTCCCACACAAAAAGAATACAAAAATTTTGTAAAACTTTCTATGTATATAGTAATAAAAACAAAACAAAGTGATGCAAAACAATACAAAGTGATACAAAACAATACAAAGTGATGTAAAAAAAATACAAAACGATACAAATCAATACAAAGTGATACAAAACAATACAAAGCAATACAAAACAATACAAGATAATACAAAAAAATACAAAATGATACAAGTTATCACAGAGTGACAAAAAATACCAAAAACAATACAAATTCTTAAAAATGATACAAAGAAAATAGGATGTACTGCAGTAAAGTGATGCGAAGTATTACAAAACATTTTAGAATGATAAAATCTAACATGATACAAAACGAAACAGTATGAAATAATACAATACAAATAATTTAAAATAATTCCAAATAATACCAAATAATATACAATTAAATACAAAAAATTGTATAAAGGGAAGGAGAGAAAGAAAAAGAAAAATAAAAAAAATAAAAAATAAGAAAAAGTGAGAAAAAAAAAGAGAAAGAGAGAGAAGGAGAGAAAGAGAGAGAGAGAGAAAGAGGGAAAGAAAGAAAAAGTGTAAATAAAAAAGAAAGAGATAATATACAATTTTTAAAAAACCCAAAATAATTCCAACTAATATACTATTTCAACAACAACAAAATTATGTATAAAAAGAGAGAGAGAGAGAGAGAGAGAGAGAAAGAAAAAAGAGAGAGAGTAAAAATGAAAAAGGAGAGGGAGACAAATAAAAAATGAAACTGGAAAGAAACACAGCAGAATTCTGAAGAGATTCAATAAGAATAAAATCTAATAAGAGCTGAGTGGGAGGATGTTAATAAAAAAATTTTTTTTACAATTTAAATCATGAAGTGTACAGAGATGGAGGGAGAGAAGAGAGAGGAGAGAGGAAAAAAAATTAATAAAAAAACTAAAAAAATATGTAAAACCAAACAAGAAATAATGTGGGAGCCGTAGGTAGGAAAGGAGTGAAATGACGTCAGGAGGGGAAGGGCAAACAAATAAAAAAACAATAATAAAAATAATAAACATTAACAAAGCAAACAGAAGGTAGTACAAACACAGGATAACACACCGGGTGCGGGTGAAGATTAACGAAACAACTTACAAAGGGAGACAAAAGTGGTGGAAAAAATGAATATAAATTAAAAGGGGTGAATGAAAAACTGGCTGAAAAAAAATAAATTGAAAAATAAAAAAAGCGTGAAAAATAAAAAAAAGAAGTGGAAAGTTAAAAAAACATTTGACAAAAAAATGAAAAAATGGATAAAGTGGTAAACATTGAAAGTAAAAAAGACACAGAAAAAATTAAAACTGTAGAAAAAAGTAATATAAAAAGAAATATAAAAGAATTAAGAATAAGTAGAAAAGAAGGAAGGAGTGTAACTTGAAAAAAATATAAGAGAGAGAAAAAAAGAAGTAAAAGAAAGAGAGAGATAAATAAGAGGGAGAAAAAAAAGAAAAAATAGAAACAAATAAAAAGATAAAGTGGAGAGTAACGGTGGGTGATTCTTGAGGTAGAGATGTAAAAATGTTCGGAGAGAGAAAAAGATTCAATTCGTTTCAAGTGGCCATCGATGCGAGGTGCTGATTGAAATTGAAGATTGACTGAGTGAACTGGTGGAGGAATGGAGGAGGTAAATAAAAGAATGTATGAGTGGGTGAATGAATGGGTGAATGAATGGGCGAGTGAGTGAGCAAAAAGAATTGTAAATAAAAATGTTTCAAAATAATTATCATTATGAAGAGCACGAAAAAATGATGAGGTTATACAAATGAAAAGAAACTCGCGAATAATATTTTCTGACAAGCAAATTCGTTTATCATGACCGCTCGCTCTCCTCCAATAAAACTCGACCGGAAGTGACGTTAGATATCACGTGACAAACAAAATGGCGGCATTTCAAGAATAAAAGTAAAGCCGTAGTAACAAAATTATAATGAATGATGTCTGTTGAAGTGAAGCTTTATTATTATTAATACTTTTATTATTATTGTTGTTGTTATTATTATTATTATTATTATTATTTCACTTGGTGTAACTGCTAAAATTAATACATTGTCATTGGTAACAACTATAACAACAACACCACATCAACAACTGAGCTAACCTCAATGCTACTACTACTACCACTACTACAACTACAACTACCACTACTACTACTACTACTACTACTACTACTACTACTACTACTACTACTACAACTACCACTACTACTACTTCTACTACTACTACTACTACTACTACTACTACTACTACTACTACTACTACTACTACTAC